AAAGAAATACATGAAGAGACAATCAAACAGATTGTGGCCTTTAAGAAGGAAATAATTAAATCACTGAAAGAAATGAAGAAAACAGAAGAAAGTTCAAACAAACAAGTGAAGGAATTTAATTAAAGGCAGGAAAATACTAACAAACAAGTAAAGTAAATCAACAAAATGGTTCAAGATCTGAAGATGGAAATGGAAACATTAAAGAAAATACAAACTGAAGAAATCCTGTAGAGGGAGAATTTAAGGAACAAAACAGGGACTACAGAGGTAAGCATCTCCAACAGAATACAAGAGATGGAAGAAAGAATCTCAGCTGTAGAAGATACAATGGAAGAAATCAATGTATCCATCAAAAAAAATTTTAAATCTCAAAATTACTGACACAAGCCATCCAAGAAATCAAGGACATGAAATCATGAAAAGATGAAACCTAAGAATAATAGGAAGAGAAGAAAAAGAAGATTCCCATCTCCAAGGCCCAGAATATATTTTCAACAGAATTATAGAAGAAAATTTCTCCAATTTAAAGGAGAGGCGTATAAGCATACAAGAGGAATACCGAACACCTAATAGATTAGACCAGAAAAGAAAATCCTCCTGCCACATAATAATCAAAACAGTAATTATACAGAACAAAGAAAAAAATCTAAAAGCTGCAAAGGAAAAAGGCCAAGTAACATATAATGGCAAATCCACCAGAATCTCACCTGACTTCTCTACAGAGACAATGAGAGCCAGAAGGGCCTGGACGGATATCCTGCAGACTCTAAGGAACGCAGATGTCAGCCCAGACTACTATACCCAGCAAAACTCTCAATCATCATAGAAGGAGAAAACAAGCTATTCAATGACAAAAACAAATTTAAACAATACCTATGCACAAATCCAGTATTAAAGAAGATACTAGAATGAAAAATACAACTCAGGGAAGCTAACTATATCCAGGAAAACACAGGAAATAAATAATCTTACTACAGCAAAACTAAAAGTAGCCAAGACACAAATACCCCACCACAGCCAACATCGCAATAAAAGAATCTGTCAGTACCTAGTCATTAATCTTTTTCAACATCAATGGACTCAACTCAATAAAAAGACAGACTAACAGAATGGATGCATAAACAAGACCCAACAAAGTGTTGCATAAAAGAAACACACCTAAGTCACAGAAATAGACATTACCTGAAAGTAAAGGGCTAGAAGATGGTTTTCCAAGCAAAGGAACACAAGAAGCAAGTAGGAGTAGCCCTTCTAATATCTAATAAAATAGACTTTCAACCAAAATTAATAAAAAGAGATGGGGAAGGACTTGTCATACTCATCAAAGGAAAATTCCACCAAGAAGACTTCTCAATTTTGAACATCTCTGCCCCAAATACAAGGGCAGCCACATTTGAAAAAGAAAGATTAATAAAGCTTAAAGCACACATAGATACCCACACATTAACAGGGGGAGACTTCAACACCCCAGTCTCACTAATAGCAGGTCAACAAAACAGAAATTAAACAAAGAAACAATGACTCTAACAAAGGTCATGAATCACTCTCTGGTTTCAATCCCGACATTGCATTGTGATACTTATTCTAAGCATCCTGTCTCAACTTGGTGTAAACTTCCAAATAAAGCAACTAGATACAATGTTGATCAGGGAAAGGAAGTAGGCAGGAGAGGGGAGTAGGCATAACAGCAAGCTTTACCAAAATATAATCATTAGTAAATAGTAATCACTGTCTACAACACTCTTCAAACCATTTCACAAAAGAGAAACAGAAAGAACATTACCAACTCATTCTATAAGGCCACAGTCACCTTGATTCCATATAATATAGGATAGCCATACTAAAATCTACAGACATAAAGAAGATAAACAACAGGGAGGACCTTAGGGAAGATGCTTAAATCTCATTCAGAATGACAAACAGAACCAGTGAGAGAGAGGGAACAGGGTAGGAGCCTACCATAGAGGTCCTCTCAAAGGCTCTACCCAACAGGGGATTGAAACAAATGCTGAGATTCACAGCCAAACTTTGGGTAGAACGCATTGAGTCTTATGGAAGAAGGGGGCAGATAGAAGGGCCCAGAAGGGATAGGAGCTCCACAAAAATACCAACAAAGCCAAAAATTCTGCGCCCATGGGTGCCTGCGGAGACTTATGCACCAACCAAGAACTATGCATGGAGTGGACCTAGACTTCCTGCTCAGATGTAGCCAAGAGGATGGCTCAGTCTCCAAGTGGGTTCCTGAGTAAGGGGAGCAGGGGTTGTGTCTACATGAATTTGGTTGCCTGCTCTTTGATCACTTCCCCCTGGAGACGTGGCCATCCCAAGACACACAGGAAGAGGATCCAAGCAGTCCTTATGGGACTTGATAAAACTAGGCTCAGATGGCAAAGGAGATAGACTCTCCCTTTCAAAGTGGGCTAGGGGAAGGAGATAGGGAGGAAGAGGAAAGAAGGGTGGGACCAGGAGGAGATGAAAAAGGGGTCTACAATTGAGATATAAAATGCAGAAAGACACACACTGGTATATACTCACTTATAAGTGGATACTAGACCTATAATATAGGATAAACATACTAAAATCTGTACACCTAAAGAAGCTAAGCAAGAAGGAGGACCCTGGATAAGATGATCAATCCTCACTCAGAAAGACAAATGGATGGACATTGGAAGAAGGAGAAGAGAGGCAACAGGACAGGAGCCACCATAGAGGGCCTCTGAAATACTCTACCCAGCAGTGATCAAAGCAGATGTTGAGGCTAATAACCTAACTTTTGGCAGAGTATAGGGAGTCTTATGAAAGAAGGGGTAGATAGTAAGACCTAGAGAGGACGAGAACTCCACAAGGAGAGCAACAGAACCAAAATATCTGGGCACAGGGGTCTTTTCTGAGACTGATACTCCAACCAAAGACAATTCATGGACATAACCTAGAACCCCTGCTCAGATGTAGCCCATGGCAGCTCAGTATCCAAGTGGGTACCCTAGTAAGGGGAACAAGGACTGTCTCTGACATGAAATCAGTGGCTGGCTTTTTGACCACCCCTCCCTGAGGGGAGGAGCAGCCTTCCCAGGCCATAGAGAAGGACAATGCAGCCAGTCCTGATGAGACCTGATAAGAAAAGGGTCAGAGGTCAGAGGACCTCCCCTATCAGTGGACTGGGAGAGGGGCATGGAAAGAGATGAGGGAGGGAAGGTAGAATTGGGAGGGAATGAAGGAGGAGGCTACAGCTGGGATACAAAGTGAATAAACTGTAATTAACATAAAAAATTAAAAATTTAATTTAAAAATGAGTAAATTGTAAAAAATTAAAAGTATGAAAGATCATATCCATTCAAACATTTCCTTTAAAAGGACTTCCTAAAATATTTAAAGTCCTAACTAAGGTTTTTATATTACACACTTATCTCTCTATTTCAATATGCACACTGTTTAAAACACACACACTCACACACACATATACCTACATATAGGTACACATGTGCACCACACACCCACATACATATAGATATAGACAGCCAGTCACACAGCCATGCATGTGCATACACATGTATACATGTATGCACGCACACATACCCTTTAGTGCTCTTGCATAAACACACATACACACAAGAATGTACACATACTTAAGCATGTACACACACGTACACATGTACATATGGACAGCCATGGACATAACCATGCATATGCACGCACATGCACACATATGCACAAACATACCCATTAGTACATATGTATGGGTGCACATATACACACATGTGCACACAGACACATGGACAGCCATAACATCATCATGCATATTCACACATATACACACATGCACATACACATCTGGCAAGCAGACAGATGAATATGTGATGGATGAAAGGATGCATTTAACTGTCCTCTCTAAAACATGTATTCTCAAAAGTAGATCTGAGATACACTAACTGTTAGTATTTTGGAACACAACCTGCTCCTGGGTTACCCAGCAACTTATGATCTCATCATGTGTCACCTGCCAGGTGGCCACACCTAGAAGGCGTGGTTACCTTGCCCCTTAAGGGCCAACCCCATCACGTGGTCTCTCTCTTACTCTCTCACTCTCTCTTACTTACTCTCTCTCTCTTTGTCTCTCTCTCTCTCTTGGGGCCCCCCATCCCCCTTTCTCTCTCTCTCCCCACCATGTCCTGTTTCCCACTCCCTCCGTACCCACTTAATAAACCTCTGGCATAGAAGATCTGTTGACCCCAGCCTCATGCTTCTTTTAATAACACTAACCAGCTCATAAAAAGAAAAATTAGAGAAGAGTTTCTCTAAAAAATTATGTATTTCTGTGAAAGAAACAAAGCTCTTTCAAGTTCACTGCTCTTTTTAGATCATATTCTTGACTTCAAAAATACAGAAACTGAGTTAGTTTTTTAATGCACACTGGCAAACTTAAGACCTCTCCTAGAATGTGTGTGTAACTCTGTCAGCAACATCCCAGTCAGGCCAGGGCATGTGTAAGCTAGGGGACATGTGCATCAGAATTAGGGATGGTGCTGGGACAGAAATGTGCCAAGTGCCAACAGAGCACACGTGTTAAACCACAGAGGGCATCCGTGTAAAAAGAGGATGGTAGAAACATCCCAAAATAAATGGTGGCTCTTATTCCACAAATCCATGCTTAACAGCAAAGACTGCAGCAGCACAGAATATAGATGCAAGCCCATGCTTATTTATACTTCCAAATTATTTCAATAGAAAAGGTCCGTAAAGAAAAGCATCTGAGTGTGGAGGTCTCACTAAGAATTAAAAAATGTAGTTATGCTACAGTCTTCCATCTACCCACAGTGAATCTTTAAAATGTTTACAAATATGAAAAATATTGTTTTCAAATATGGAAAATATTTTATATTTTACTGAAAAGACACATGACTGTCAACCCTGAATGCCCAGCTTCCCTTGTTTGATAGGAGGTCAGAGCTCCACAGTGAAGGCAAAGGGGAGAGGTGTGCTCTAATCATCTAGGTAGTTACCTGCAGTGTCTGCCTTGCTCTGGCTGTTGAGACATAGGCACAACTATGAAGACCCTACTGAAACAAGAAGATACAAGGTTCATAAAACACTCACCACTGCAGGTGGCATACGGACAGCTCCTAAAAATGCAAACTGATCCTTTGTGACAAGATTAAGGAAAACTTTTTGTTAATTACAGTAAGAATTACTTTATCCCTTTAAATCCTGTACTGGAGTGATGTTTTATCACACTATGATCCACAGTGGTTGAGAAGAGAGAGGCACACATCCTCACACACTGTGCTGACTCTTGGTATTTTGCAAGTCAAATGATAGGATGATCCCTTTTCTGAAGTCCTGTGATCTGCTCCAAAACAAGAGGCAAGTGAGAGAAGAATTTTCCTGGGGAACACCAGGTGTAGCTCTCAGATCTGTGCAGGACACACCACGGCCCAGAGGATTCCTAAAAAAAGAAAAAAGTCTAGCACAGATGTTAAGCAAAGGATCCTGCGATCTTGGGCTAACATCCCTGGCCACCATGTCAGCCTCTTGCTCTTTGAGAAGGCCCTGAACCAGAAAGCTCTATGTCATGTAAGCAGTCTTATCTCACGATCAGATCCTTCTTTATATTAAAAAACGTGCTTTGGGACAGTCCAGGGTCATAAGGGGTACAAGGAGACATCTGTTCTATCTGAAGGTCAATTTGGTAAAAAATTCAATGGGAGTAGGAGTTGCAGCTTGCAGCCCAGGCTTTCTGAATAAGCACAGTGTGGGAGGACAGCTGAGTCATCTCTGAGAAATAAGAGTTTCTTTTTTCTATGACTGGATATGAGTGTGGCTGTGATACTATTGGTTGGTTATCTGTCAAGGTCATCTTAGAGTATTTCGCCTTTAGTCTTCCCTCAGTGGAAACAAGCACCTATATTACCCAGCAGATCCACTGGTGTTAAGCACTAGGCTCTGAAGGGCCTATTCATACCTTCAGTGCTAATGTCCTTGAAATGCAGGCTTCTCTGGAGTGCTAGCTGAAGAATTATTCTGTTGTTATTGTTACCAGACAGTGAGAAAATACATACAAGATGAACATGATCACTACCTGTAGAAGGAGACCCTACTCACTGACAACCCCAAGTCACTTGTCATGTCAGCTGCAAGCTGTGAACAGGTGTTTTCTACACGTCTGTAAGTGGAGCTTTGTGACATGTGAATGGTTGTCTGAAGTACTCTCTCTGCAAAGCTAAAGTCCAGCTTACCCCAAGTCAGGTCATGAGCAGGGCCAATGGTCCTTAGTCCTCTCAGGCAGGAAGGCAGTGCATCACTGAAAAATGGTATGCCATGAGAGAACCTACGTTTCCCATAACAATCCAGAACTTCAAAGCACCAAGAGCAGCAAACATGACTCCTGGGCTGGGTTATAGCCAGAGCTGACACCTGTATAGATGGAGATAACTTGATACATTGTTCTCTATAGGTGCTATTGTTGTGCTCTGGAATTTTGGAGACTTTGCCTGCTGCAAGGCTTTCAAGCCAAATTTTATACCTGGTCTGCCCTTTTCCTGCTTTTCAGTGAAGCCTAAGTAAAATCTGACTGTCTCTGCCGTTCATAAAGACTAGATTTTAGGGAAAAAATTGATAAATGCCAACATTCAAAATGAGAGAAAACTGTTAACCAGGATGGCCACTGGGAAAGAAAAGGAAACATTGGATAGGTTGGTTAAAAAATAGAAGAAGAAAGAAAAGAAAAACTGAAGAACATTTTACATGGCTGTATCTCAAATACAATTTTACCTTGAATTTATGGTTCACTGAATCTTGTTTCTATCAGGAGCTATCCTGCGGAATCTCTGGGCTAGAAAAGGGCATGTCTGTGGAACTGACAAGGGTGCAGTCAGCATGCTGCTGTGGGATGGGGAGCCTCGGGCACCACAAAGGGAGCTGCAGTCAGTGAAGGATTCTTTAATGCTAGGGTCACCCGTTAGGGTTTTCTGAAGTGAAAAGGGCAAATATTATTTGTAAATTTTTTGTTCAATTTTACAATTTCCGAAATTTTATTTTAAGAAACTTGATTTTTCATAAGGAAAACTGACAGTTAACAGCAACTGTCAGCTTGACTGAGTTTAGAGTCACCCACTCTTCACGCATCTGTGAGGGTATAGGCAGAGGTTTAACTGAGAAGGGAAGACCCGCTGAGTGTGTGCAGCATTGTTCCACTGTGTGACACACCACACTGAGGGACTGAATAAAGGGCAAAAGGGGACATTAAGTTGAACCCCAGCATTCACGTCTTTAAGCAAACTGTCTATGGACTGTGATGTGCTGCTCCAGCCGCCATGCCTTCGCCACCATGGCTGACTGTGCTCTTAAACCAGAGCCAAAATCAACACTTCTTCCTTAAGTTGCTTTGTCTGGTATTTGGGCACAAGTAAAGGAATACACTGATGTCATATTTTTATGACTTGTTCTTTCCACACTCTACAGCAATGGTTCTCAACCTGCGGGGTGCAACCCATTCAGGGGTTGATAGACCCTTTCACAGGGGTCACATAAGACCATCTGAAAATGCAGATATTTCCATTATGATTCATAACAATGCCAAAATTACAGTTATGAAGTAGCAAAAAAGATAATTTTATGGTTGGGGGTCACCACAGCATAAGGAACTGTATTAAAGGGTCGCAGCATTAGCAAGGTTGGGAAACACTGAAGAGTTGTTCAAATTCTCTAACATGGCATCAGGAGACTACTTTGCAATATAATGTGCAAGCAAATTTTAAATGATTACCATATCTTAGTTACTGGCAAAGTTTAAAATATCAATTAATAAAAGTAATGCTAAGAATGCCACTCCAGTGGGCTCTACAGCAAGGCTGGTGATTTAAGGGGAAAAGGCCCAACTTCCTTTAGCACAAGAAAACACAGTCTCACTGAGAAGCAGAAATTAAAAATTTCAAGAATTACGGGGAAATGCAGGCAAGGAAGAACTGATGAAGCAATACAGAAATTTGAGTTTTTATCTGGCAGGAAAACACAGGCACTTATTACTGGAAGTCTTAAGGCACTGCACCACACAGCCTTTTTGTGAATACTCACTACAAGTCCAGGATGGCCCAGTGTGAAATTTCTTCATGGAGCTGTCTGTGTTTTGTTTATGCAGCCTGAATCCATGGAAAGATGACAAGGGATTTATAAAGAGATATTTCAGAGGTCTTTCTTCCCTTTAGCTAGGCAAGCCTTATCAATAATTCAAGAACTCAGAACATTGCATGTAATTGCTTCATTTCTCTCCATTCTACATCATTCACATTTGGACCTACATAGATGACTGAAACCAAAAAAACTGTTCTTCTTGAGAAGAATAAAAAAGGAAGAAAAATTCCAAATTGTGATTTCACATTACTATGTAATGTTCATTTTTTTGTTTAAGGTAAATGTCTGAAAATATTTTCAAGTATTTTCATCTTAAGGAATACATCAAAGAGAAAAATCTATTGTATAGCTTTAATGCATCAAAATTTTATAATATGACAAATTACTGATCACTGGGTAAGTTTTCTCAGCAAGGTCAGTAAACTTGTCACTAAACCTCTATTGTCACGTATAAATTAATGATAACATTGGCTTTCTCAAAGAGTGGTAATAGTAGTAAAAGGAGATCACGTGTAAGCCAATGTCTTTCATAAGTCCTGTCAAAATAAGATAACCACTGCCACCATGGAGGAGTGCTAAAAATCCTGAAGGAAGATGTGTGAGTCCTATCACAGGAAGATAAGCAGCACCAACTGTAGAGGGATGCCATACTGTGGAGGGATGCTGCAGCACAGAGGGATGCCACACCATGGAGGGATGTAAGAAAGGGGAGGGATGCCACAACTACTGCAGGCATATGCTCAATGGTTTCTAAGTTTCTGTGTTAGGTATGTGTACTCAGTAATGACTTCACACCAGTCCTCTAGTTTAGTGCATAGAGGGATAAAAGGCAATAAACTGAGAACATTCCTAAGTTTTTCATTCAGATGATACATTTTTGCTTTTGAAGACTTTCCAACCACAGTAAATATATTGCAAATAAAACCATTTGTGGAACATGTAAAAATCACTCCTCTAGGGTGCTTTGTTTAAATTATTCTTTTGGGTTCTTTCTTTGGAGTATTCAAGGAGGGCTGGCTATAAAAGTATATGTTGTGACAGAGCACACCGGTAGTTAATAGCAAATGAGAATACTAGATATAAAATAAGGATTAGGTTCTAACAAAAGTCAAGGGTTGAGTGGAAATATTCAAAATGGGAAGTGGAAACCTAAGGATAACCTCGCAGCAACAGAATGAAGCCCAGATATGAGAGCTGAGGGCTCTGAATTAGATACTTGATTTAGACAAAGGCTTGATACTGAGCAGATGTGAAATCCTCACAAGTGACTGGCCTCTAATTTTCTGTATTTTTAAAATGAGAATAAAAGTGTCTGCCTCAAAGAACTGTGTGTAGTGGGGTTATAAACCAAGAATAGCAGTTACACAACTAATACACAAAAATGATCATTGGATGTTGTGTGTGTGTGTGTGTGTGTAAGACAAAGAGAGATAGAGGAAACATTTTTCACACAAAATTCTTGCAAATTAATTAAACTGTCATATTATTAGACTAAATTATCAATTAATTTCCTTCTAATACATATACATATGTAGGTTTATATGCCCACACACATAACATTTAAACATATTCTCTTAGGTTTTTTCATGGCAGGGAGGCTAAAACAATACATAAATAGGGTGTACAGAGCATAAGCATTGATTTCCTCCATGAAATAATTAGATTTTTCAGCATTTCCTTGAGATTAATTGTTTCGGACTGAAGAGGTGGCCTAGCAGTTAAGACCACATTGCTAAGTAGCCCAAAGCGATAATTTTCACTTTTCAGCTCTAATTTATTTATTACACATTGGAGTCACATCCTAAGTCAAATGAAAAGCGAAAACTGCTATAGATACAAATATGTGTTTAGACTTATAAGCTATTCTTTCCAGCCTTGTGATAAATATCAAAATTCATTTTTCTTCCTTCTAAAGATGATCTAAAAT